ACGAGAGCTTCTTGGCTGTGGAAACCTTGCACGAGAGCTTCTTGGCCATGCCTTGGAGTGCAGGCCACTTGACCTTTGGGGATGAGATTTCCTGCTCTTCAGGGGCTGGGGATAAAGAGGAGTCCTTCTGGAGCTGCCTGGTGACACACTGCACCAAAGGCCACTTGATACCAGCAGGCTGTGCCTCCTGGCCATCCGCTGGCGAGGGAAAGGCAGTGTCCCCACTGAGGGGCTAAGAGAAAAAAAGAGAACAGTCAGTCACGCCTGCTCACACTGATGCCAAGAAATGGAGAAAACTACCAGTGTCCTCACCTCGATGTGATGGAACTGATTCCCTGCGACGCTGGATGACATAATATAGTGATTGTTAGGGTCCTTCAGAGCCTCAGTCATCACAGCTTCGCTCACCACAACTGCGTGAGAGGTCTCTGCAGGACTTTCCTCTTCACTGTGGGCAGGAGACAGGGTCAGAGCACATCTCACACCCACTGAAGGCCCCCTCCTCTGACACAAGAGGTGCCGCAGTCTCCCCACTTCTACCGCAAAGCTAACCTGTACAGCGTGCCTGGAGCCTGGACCTCCTCGCTCATGGGTGTGATGATGCTGTATTCTGTTGTCCCACCAAAGGGGATAGTGATCTGCTGCAGCTCTGAGCCACCCAAGGTCGCTTCCTCATAAGCCTCCTGCACCAGTGTCTCCCCAGGCTCTGCCATGTGCAGTGTCACCACCTTCTGCTGCTGTTCCTGCTCAGAGGGATCCACCTCTGTCCCCTCCTCCTGTGTCTCTGCCTCACCCGGGCTCTGCGCTTCTCCCGAATCATCCGGCTTCACCACCGCCACCTGCACAGGGGAGAGCAGCAGGTCAGCTGAAGGAACACGCGGCTCTGCGGGACACCCCTAGAGCAGAGCAGGGCCGGGTGCTGCGAGCAGGCTGGCGAGGGGCTGCTGAAGCTCTCCGGGCCCTCCCGTAGCCCACTCACCTGCAGAGAGCCTGTGGCCAGCTCCCGCTGAGCGCTCATGTTC